GGGGTATTGAGTCACCGCCGTTGATTGACAACAAGGCGCAAGTGGCCGCAGCGGCAGCTAAAGCCGCTAAGAAAGCGAGCTCACGACGCGAGGAATTATTGAAGCAACTAAAGGCCGTGGAAGATGCGATTGCGCGTAAAAGGTCGAAGGTTTAAATCGACTCGATTAACGATAGCGTGCACTTTTCATGAACAGGGATTGAAAACAGTATAACAAATACATATATAGATGTGAATGAAAGAAATTGATTGGGGTAAATTTCGACACAACATATGTATACCGATATAGAAATAACTTTTCGGAAAAACTAGCGTTGTCCAATTAAATAGATTTGTAGTACGCTGTGATATGTATTTTACGAAAAAGATGTTTAACAGTGTATCATACTTATTAATGACAACTAAACTCACTGATTATTTGTTCGTTGTTGAAAGATAAAGAATATTATAATTGTAATTAATTGTAAAGTTCTGAACTTCTTTATTTCCTTTTTTGTAATTTTTTTTTGTAAAATGTATTTAATATAATTGTAATGTCGATATATAATATCGGTATTGCATATATACCGATATTATGAAATTCTCTTATACATTTTTAATGATTATATCGATCTAAACTCCAACTGAAGTTTTATAAAAATAGAAAAATACGCAATATCGGTATACAGTTGCTAACGAAATTATCTTTGTATTCAATTTCTGTTCGTGAGTGCGGATAAATACGTATGTATTAAATGTTTATCTAAGTACACTGTATAATTTAGCTGCCATTATTACCATCACGAAATAACGAAATATGTGAGGCCTGTTAGATTGTGGTGGTATATATAAGTTCTTATTTTTACAATATGAGGTAGATTCTATTATTTACATTTTATTTCTTCACTAGACGTCTTTTTTCTTAGATAGACGCTTAAACGTAATGGTTGATATTGTACAGTCTCACCGTGATTTTGTTTTAATAACACTCGAGTGATTATTTTTATGTAAAATGTAAAACATAAGAAATATATTATGCGTAAGACAGGAAGTTATCTTGCATCTGAAAATGGATATATGCATAGTTAATTATCCAGTGTTAATAATTAATTGAATTCCGTTAGCACATATGCGCGTAAGAAATATAATCACGCGATGTGTTACAATTTTTCTAAAACAGAAAGCAGATTTGGGAAGTGATATTAACCTATGTAAATTGTCGTATCTGTATAAATATATATTCTGTATTTTATTTTTATTCTAACATCAACATATTAAACATCTATAGAGCGGATTATCGAAGATCTCTATGTTGCCAAATATGAAAATTATTCAATTGTATTCATAGGTAAAATCAACAATATTCATTTTGCTACAATTATTATAGACAATGCTGCTAAATTAATGTTATTTTCCGCAAAGTAAGCAGATGTTGAATTTGCTGATACAATTTAGTAGTAATCAATGAGAAATATATGCTATTATTTTTCATTAATAGACAAGGAGGTTCAACAAAAGGATAAATTTTGCAAGTTATGTATCTGTTTTGTTACATCACGATGTACTAATTGTTGGTTTTTTTTAAGCAAATATTATTTTTCACGACACAATTCATAAACATGGTTCTTTTATTATTGTCAAATTAAAAACATTCAATAAAGATGATAAGTGACCTGCGATATTAGACGATCTTTCGTTTAAGAATGCGGAAGAATAATTTTACGAATAACAGGGAATATATACTTTCTCAAATATACAGCGATTTTACTACTCATGAGGAAGAAAGATTTCATAATAAGAACTATATATTTTGTACTTTTCTTCCGTGTATAAATATAGCATGGCATATAAACTCTATGTTAATTTCATGTCGTAAACACTCTGTTAACTTAAGAAAAACGGACGCTTTGTTAACAACAGTCTTTATTAAACAGTAAGTACAAAACAAAAGAGTGTTATCAAAGACACCGACTTTGAATTCTATACAAATAAATAATGTGTCTTTTTTTTCTTAACAACATACCAGAACCGAAAAAACAGGCACACACACTCCTGTTTATTATCCTATAATATTCTATTATAAATAATTTGAAAGCAAAGTAAAACTTAAAATCATTCCAAGTTTAAACGAACTTGATTGCCCAAATTCCAATGTATGCGTGGGTGTTGAAATTCTTTGCTTACGAATAGAAAACTGAAGGAAGGCACTCGTATGTATTTTTCGGACGAAATTATATTTTTTATAATTCTTATATTCGAATCGACCTTTGTACCAAACACATAAGACAGCCCTATATATTTCTAGATTACTTATTTAAATATTATATGTATATACATTTTTTTATATTCGCCAAGGTGCAACGTTTCAATTGTTCAAGTATCTAGAAATGGAAATTTCATAAATCATAAGGCATTATAAGTGCTGTTTGGATATTCTCAGAATATTCAGTTTCTATGTAAAAGGTGGTCCATGCTGCGTGATCGCCAAACTGCACTTTGAATATCAAGGAAACAAGAATACCAATATGATTCGTTCACTGAAGACGTTTTTACTCCCTCATAACAGATGCATCGAGATCCGCTTGTCTGAAGGATGAATTCAGTTCCGAGGGCTCTTGCATTGTTCTGATCGGCATTCCCATAAACCTTGGTTGATTGGTGCCATTCAGCGTGCTACGTCTCACCCTGGCGTTGATCTCCGGATTAATCTTTATCTCATTGTACTTAAAGAGACCATCGCCAGGTGCTGGCAGGCCAATCCTGGGCAGCTTGTACCACCATTGATATGTAACGTACCACGTAATGACTGCAGCTGCGCCACCCAGGAATTTCTCTATCATGATGTGATAGTAAAGCATTGTTGACACTAACATGATATCCCACAGTAGCTGCTGCAATGTCATTGCCACGAAAAGACCACGTAGATACGGCGTGAGTGCCCGGTGAGCCTTCTTCAAGAACCCCAGATCACCATCTGAGAGATTACGCAACGGGCCAGTGCTGGTCTCAGTTGGCACAGATCGTGTGTGCTCTTCTTTCATTATCAAATCCTTGATACCCTCCCATCCTACCAGGGAGGAACCTTCTTCAGCAAGGATGAGGCTTGAATAAATTAAAATAAATGTATGTCCAGATATATCAAGGCCACTCCAGAATCTACCTGACTGCAGACACTTTGCCTTGGACTGCATGTGAATATCACGGGTGCCCAGACATCTGCCATAGTTGGTCTCAATGTAATTGAACAACTTTGTCCAGATGAACCAGGCACAAGTGGCAAGTATAATGCGGGCCAAGTGTCTCAGCAGGAACGGTCGACGGCCACAACCCAGTATGTGCGCTGTCAGGACGACCCAGGGTACAATTATGGACAGCAACCAGCCCCAACCCCACTTGACGAAATACTGATTCAGGGCATTGTCGGATCTGGAAAAATAGGTGCGCGGCATCGCGATGAAATCTGCGATCAGGGAGACGATGAATATCGTGCCGCAGTAGATGGCCACCTTGAGCCGGGTGTCGAACAGTAAGGACTTCTTGCAGACGTGCAGCAGCATGGTGACCAGGATGAGGCCAATTGAGCTTGGTGCTGCGGTCGGTCGAGTACCACCGCGGTCCTCCTGTTGCGTGTTGTTCGGCCGAAAGTTCATTCGGCTGCTCGAGCGCGGACCACTGCCGGAGTAACTAGACGAGCCGAGGTTCCCGGACGACGTGTGGATGCTGCGTCGCTTACCTGTCGCCATCGCGTCTCAATTTCGGTTATCGGTGGTCGACGTCACCTAGAACCATCGCACTGAGCTAACCTCTTGGGTAAGGAAGACGTATATCGTCTTGCGAAGGTTTCCAGCGTGCGACTGACTCTCCCAAATTCTTTTGCTTTCTCAGCTGTCGTGGACTCCGAGCAATCTGCTCCGTCATCCACTGGTTGACCCTCTCCCCACCTCGTTACTTTGCATCACTACGTATGCCATGGATGTCCTTTGCTCCCAGGTACTACTACCTAGATTCTTCTATGTGTAGAATATAAAAGTGTGGGATGTGTCTGCTCTTTGCAATACACTATTTAGTATTTCCTGCGTTTAAAATGTGACAGATGTATAATTAGAGGCCGCAGAGAAAACAATAAAACAAAAAAAAGATAAAAAATATAAAAAATTCGGCCATAACGAACCTCATGTCATTTGCTCATGTGACTATCATAGACGTAGTAAATGTAGCTACCCAACTAGTAAAGAAAATTGTAAATTACAGTTTCCTATCACTACGGCTG